TTTCCATATGATTCCAACTTAGGGGGACATACTGTATATGTAGTCTAAATGCACACTTAGAATAATGCTAGAACAACTAAGCTGAAATTTTGATTGTATTATACTGACAGAAACTTTTCAAATACAAGATATTGATCTTTTTAATCTGGGTGGTTATAGGATGTTATATAATCAGGGACAGTTAAATAAAAATGACGGTGTAATTGTATATGTAAAAAATGAATTAAACACAGATGGCACAATTATTGATATTGGCAACTCAAAGGCATTACAGATAAAAATTGACCTGCATAATAACAAGCACATTTTATTAACTTCTATATACCGCTCTTCATCAATTACACCTGAAAACTTCATTTCGAGTCTAGAAAATTATCTTGAACAAATAAACTATTCTAAACTGGATTCTTACCAATTATTTGGTGATATTAATATAAACATTAAAGATGAAAATGACAATGTTTCAAAATATTTAAATTTACTATATTAATATAAACTACATTTTATTATAAATAAATACACGCCCATTCAAAAAGTTCACGCAGCTGCATAGACCATATATTTCTCAGGGCAGTAGTAGAATTTTCTCTCGACGAAGCAATTACGGCTGTATATGAAAATAACATCACGGACCATCGAGCTACGATAATCGGTTTTCCTATAATAGCTAAAACTAAATATACCAACACAGACAATTACAAAACATTCATAAACTATAAAAAATTCAAAATGAGCTTCAAAATTTTAATTGACAAACTTCTTATGATATGAACGATGCAAACAAAAAAGCCCAAGAATTACTAAATATTTTAAATACATTCCTAAAAAAATACACAAAAACAATAAAATTAAACACAACCAACCAAAAGCGTCAAAATTGGATAACAGCAGGTCTTGTCCGGTCAATAAACCGTAAAAATAAATTATATAAAGAACATCAACAAAATCTAAATGATGAGGAGGAAAAAAAAAACATTTATACGTCAACTATCGTAAACAGATAAATGAGTTAATTAAAATTACAAAACGCAATTACTACCGAGCCGAAATACAAAATAATTCAAATAATACAAAATATTTATGGAATCTGGTTAACAAAAAAAAAATAAAAAAAAACAATAATATTAATAAAATACTCACAAATTCGGACGAAAGAGTTAAAGATAAAAAAGATATTGCGGAGAAATTTAATAATTATTTTGCTTCGGTAGGAAAAAAGCACGAAAAATATCAAGACCAACAAATCTTCCTCCAACCCGGAAAAAGAATAGTAATCCTTTTTATTGGTTGTCACTTAAAATAAATAAAGCACCGGGAGTAGATAACTTGAAAGCCGAGTTATTTAAAAAACTACATAACGAGCTAATCAGACCCATTGCTGATCTCATAAATGTGATATTTGCTAGTGGGGTCTGTCCCTCCATATTTAAAACAGCTATCGTCACTCCAATTCATAAAAATGATAAAAAAGATCAAATGTCCAATTATAGACCCATATCCCTAATTACTACGTTGGCTAAAATAATGGAGAAAACTGTAAAGAAAAGATTAATGGACTTCATAGATAAACATAAATTATTGTCAGAGCGACAATATGGATTTCAGAAAGGATTATCAACAAATGATGCAATTAAGACCTCGGTTTCCTCAAAATATAACTACATTGATAAAACCGAACCAACAGCAGTACTGTTCCTTGACTTAGCTAAGGCGTTTGATACTGTGAGTCATTCGCAGTTGTTAGACGTCTTATATGATGCAGGGATACGGGGACTCCCATACAAATTTTTCGAAGACTACTTAACTCACCCAAACCAACATGTTAGGATAAATGGTGAACTTAGTAGAGAAAAAGTTGTATCGTTTGGAGTCCCTCAAGGTACCGTACTGGGACCAATTCTCTTTAATTTGTACATTAATGATATATTTTCTTTCAACTCTTCGGGAAAGGTAATTGGTTTGGCAGACGACACTGCTGTAATATATAGTGACAAAATGTGGGAAAATTTAAGAAATAGAATAGAAAAATGTTTAATATATTTAAACACAAAATGCTTACAGTTAACTACAACAAATCCTATATCGTTCCGTTTACCAGTTATAAACACAAATTACCACTTTATAATAAAATTACTATTACGGACAACAATAGGGTTACTAAAATTTCTTTAAAATCTGAAATTAAATATCTTGGTGTAAAAATAGATTCACATTTAAGATGGACCTCACACTTATCGGACGTAGCTAAAACATTAAGGTTTTTATTATATAAATTTAAATATATGAGAATACCAAACTTACCACATCTAAAAACGATTTACCATGCACTTGTGGAATCGCGTCTCAGATATTCCATCATAAGTTGGGGAGATACATTGCCGTCATCTAGAACAGGTCGAAAACCTACAACGAAAAATTTTAAAAAGTATATATTGTGAAAATCTAAGATTTAACACTAATCTTCTTTTTAAAGAAGCAAATGTAATGTCTTTGAGGCAGCTATATCTTTTTAGTATAATCATTCATTTATTTCAAAACCGCACTTACCTGCAAACACCTGGCCATCATTATCATACTAGAACTAAAACAAAAGATTATATACAAACAAATACTGCTAAAAAAACCATAGGTATAAGATATTTCGATTTTGTAGCAACTTATATAAAAAACATTAGGATCTAAAGAAATAGATAAAATAATTGAAAATGAGTAAACAAAAACAAAATAAATATTGTTAAAAAAATAAACTTTAAAATCAAAATAAAATAAATGTAACAAACTAAAGAATCAGAGAAAATTATGTATATGTACTAGTTTTAAGTCTAGCGTAGAAAAAATAATTGTATATTGTATTATATTATATTGTAACCCCTCCTGGGTGTTGTTCGGGTAGCAGGTAGATTTTAAACAGTCGGAGACAGAGTTCTTTGGAAATAAAACTTTATTCTAACAATTTATATATAGACAACAATATTTACAATATGTACAATGAAAAGGTCCTAACTAAATTTCGAATCGTCGTGTCTTCGAATATTGTCTCCCCAAAATATATTTTGTGCGTCGGTTCGGCGTGACTCGGTGGTCCAAGATGGCGTGGCGAAAACGTGACAAGAGCTTAGGTTATGTTTACGGTAATGGAAGTCCCTCGAAGTCAATACCTTCGTGGGAGAGATCCACGGGAAAGGAAAACCTACAAAGTCAATACCTTTGCAGGCAGGGGTCGGGACGTCGGGAAGCCCACAGAGTCAATACCTCTGCAGGAGCAGGAGAGGAGAGTCTTACTAAGTTAGTACCTTAGTTCGACTCACGAGAATTAAATTCGGAGCTCTTTATATACTTGTTTCTGCTTGCAGAAACGCCTAGTATCTAAAACGGTGTTACTGGGGAACATCGTTACAATATTTTTAAGTCATCCGCGTCAACCTTTATGGTCTTAATGGATTACACTGTTGAAAATTCTTAAATTAATTGTCATGTATTCTGTATGTAAACAGTATGTACTGTTTAAAAAATGAAAAAAAAAAATGATATAAATGGTCTTTAGGCTAGTTGGTTGTTACATTTGGTGTTAGTTTTAATTAATGACGAAGCGATCATCAGTTACAGTGGTCATTCTTCTTTTGGCAGAGCCTTGCTGCCTAGTAAAGTTTCCAAGCATCGTCGAACTGTACTGAACTGCTAATGTCAAACATTTTATCACAATAATCGCGTACTTAGCCAACCTCAATAATGATTAACCAATAGCTTGACATCCATTTTTCACAAATTAATTCAAATTAATTTAAAAAAAAATGCAGCTCACAATAAAAAAATCAAAAAACAAAATGTTTGTAATACATCTAAGATTACAGCAAACAGTATATAAACAAAATTAACTGCCTCAATTTTGCTACATGGTGTTCTTAAGTTGCGACAAAAAACGACATTTTAAATTACCCCTGTATAATATTGCCTAATCGAAAAATGTTACTTAATACAACAATTTAAAAATATCACAATAAATTTATCTACAACTGGTAGAAAACTCATATAAATAGGATAAAACACAAAAAAGTTATAAAACATCAAACTTGATCAAAATTTTAGGGTGGCATAATTTTGTGCCGGGGTGTAGATTGTATATTTTTTAGATTTTGTTCTAAAAAAAATATCGCTTATTTTTCAAAATTTTAATTGGATCCTACATGTTAATATAACGGTTGGCATTCAAAACCAAATTCATCATTATACTCTTCCAACTGGCTTTTACAGAACTCAAATATCTCTATTCATTTAGAAATTATCCAACTTAAGCATTTTCATTAAACTTCATGAATAAATTCAGAAAATAGTAACACGGAAATAATAATTATCATAATCATATAAAAGCAGGATATAAATGCATATGAGTTTGGTATTAATCACTGATAAATTTGTGATTGTAAACTAATGTCAGATATCAAACTGATTAAAGATTAATGTTTTTATCAGCTAATATTTTATTATTTGGCTATCACTCTCAGATCAGATATATCTAACAATGCTCATTTTTTACCATCCAAGCATTTTTATAATTCAAATTGTGTAGGTAAGTGCAACAAATCTATGATTTTTTTAATATAAATAGATCTTTTCCAAAAAAATGTAGACTCTTTTTTTCTTAGTTCACAAATAAGTTATCAGTTGCCTGCATGTTGTTTTTTTTTGTACAGATGCATGTTGTCTCGCTTCTTGTTTATTATTGTCATGCCTCCATATCTTTTTATCATAATCATGTCATTTTTTTCATGTAAACCAAAATATCGCAAATACTCAATTGTCGATTCATTTTTACCGTAAACATTTGCAAAAAGTAGAAGTGGTTACCATCAATTATCAATTCAACCGTACATAACTAAGACGATTTAAAAATAAATCACATTTTAAACAAATCGTTTCCCAAATTCTATTTTTGAATTTATTATCTAAATACAAATTAACTATTGTTTTTATACATGTTTAATTGATTTTAATCCTTCCAGACCGAGTACAGAGCCCAGTCAGGCAACTGCCAAGTCCAAACCAACCGCCTGGAAGTCCAGAAAGCATCCCAACTAGTCCGACAATGTACCGTTATGGAAATCAACCCATGGATATGGATACCAATCGGTACATATCCAGCCAGTATTACTTACAACGTGGACCATCGATGTACTCCACGCTACCATCTAAGAAAACTCAATTTTTCACCAACGAACTCAAACCAGAACGATCAGTCACTCCAGACATCACCAGAGGCCTAGAACGAAGCAGTCATTTCGACCACCCGACCGCTTACAAGACCGAACACACTATGATGAATCAACGACTCGGCATCCCAGTACAAATGCCTGATATCAACAGATTAAACCTCCAAAACGTGCCTTCAACGTACACTACTCAAAGATATTACGAATCTCCTCAATATAAACCCCAATATCAAGCCTACGAAGAAGGCGATTCTTTGAGAATCTCTCCAATAGATCCAAGAAACTCAGCCGGGTTTCAGTCTTCCACTCCGTCAGCCAAAGATCTCAAAGCAGCTACGAATTTAGAAAACAAATTATTATCGCCCAAGAAGTCTACTATGTCCAATGAAGAACTCTACGCCGTCATTCATAAGAGCAAGAAGAGGATGAATATCGAAGCAGAAGAGTCACCAAGAGCCTCACCTGTAACAGTGCAAGATCAACCTAAAAGGCTCATTAAATCACCTGAAACCGGCTATATAGGGGGAGGATCCAGATCCAGATTAAGCTGGTCGCCCAGTAAAGGAGAGTACATAGACTTCAACGAAGACATAGACAAATTATCACCACCGAACGATTCAAAATCGAGACTAAGCTGGGCCTGCAGCGATAGAAAGCCGAAAAAACAAACTTCGACGTTAGATTTCAAAAGATTACTTTTACAAAAATCCAGTACAAATTCTCCTAAAAAACTATCGGCAGTTGAGCAGCTCAAGATTTCCAGGCAACAAATTAAGCCACCACAGCCGAAATATCAACCAGAAATGAATATATTGGATTTAAGCGCGTCTCCGAGAAGCTTGGTAAATAGAAAGTTTTTAAATAACCCACCAGGATCGCCTAATCGGGAACAGAAGCCTCTTACGAAAGTTCTATCGCCTCGATCTCAATGGAGGTTCGCCAGTCCACGCAGTGATGTACTGTCATCGCCTATTCTGGAAGATTGCAGAGAAGACGACAGTCCGAACAGTTCGGCAGAGAAAAAAGAATCGCCTAGAAGTCGCAGCTCATCTTCAAGTACGGAATCGTCGCCCAAGGGAATGCCAAGACTTAATATAGAACCCAAGCCGTATACATCGGCCACTCAAAGACTGTACGCTCAGCGAGCTCAGTATTTTAGCCCAGTGAGTCCGAAGAGCAGCCAGCTCAAAGACCAAGAGAACGAGAATGATAGTAAGCAAAGTGTTCCGCCTGCTTTAGAAACTGCGTTTTAGTTTTAAGTTTTCTTTTTTTATTTGTATTTTATGATTTGGATGGGGTGTTTTAAATATCGCGCTTGAGTAAATAATGTAAAAATTATGTTCTGATTAAGTTAAACCAATAAGAATCAAGTCAATTAGTAGCAAAATTTCTTCCTGTTAAAATGTCTATTGCAAGTTGGGTCCCTGATACTATACAGGGTGTTCCTTAATAGTAATAATAATAATAATAAATCGGCTTTATTTATCATCACAAAACAATATAAAACATTATTTATAGTTGATGACGAAACGGCGTAGTTCAGCCTAGACTGTTTTTCAACTTAACCTTAACAATAATAAAAAAAAAACTGAAAATATAAATAACAAATTAGGATATAAAAATTTTTCCATAACAAAAATTTAAAAATAATTTAAAATGAGTCTTAAATTTACAAAGGTCCAAGAATAATTGCGGGATGCTAATACACTTAAAAAGTCGATATAAATAGTCTTGTTTTAAAGTTTACTAATGTGTACGATCTAAAATCAACAGGCAACTTGTTATACGAGGGATACTGCCAAAGTTCGCGGAAAATGTAAAGCAAAACACAAATTACGTTATGTAAATCGCTTTATTGCTTCTCAAAATATTCTCCTTTAAAATATATACACTTGTGCATCCGATGAAACCAATCTTCAAAACAATTTTGCCATTCTGAGAGAGGTACCTTCAAAACAAGTGATTTAAATGCTTCAACAGCCTCTTCAGGCGATGAAAAACGCTCGCCACGCATTTTATTTTTGATATGTCGAAATAGGAAGAAGTCATTGGGCGATAAATCAGGCGAATATGGGCAATGAGTCATTAGTTGGATGTTGTTACTGGTCAAAAACTCTACAGTTCGTCGTGCTGTGTGAGCGCTTGCACTGTCATGATGAAGAATGATTCGTCGGTTTATGTTGTTCCTTCTGATTTCAGCGATAACTTCCGGCAAACAAACAAACAAGTATACCAGTCAGAATTAACTGTTCTTCGATCCTCTAATGCAACAGTTGCAATATGACCCGTTTTTCCGAAGAAACAAGCAATCATTCTTTTCGAAACGCTTCGTGAACGCACCACTTTTGTGGGTTTAGGTTCATTTTGGAACACCCATACAGTCGATTGCTGTTTAGTTTCAGGCTCATATGAATATATTCAAGATTCGTCACCTGTTACGATGTTATATACCGAATTTGAACGACCCCCTTCGAATTTGTTTAGCATTTCCTTGCACCACTTGACACGTGCCTGTTTTTGTTCTTCTTTCAAATTGTGTGGGATCCAACGACTGCAAAGCTTCCTGACATGCAAATGATCGTGCAAAATCGTATGTATTTGTTTCGCTGCAATGCCTAAGGATGCCTCTATCTTACGATAGGTCACATGCCGATTTGACAAAATCATTTCACGCACAGCATCAATATTTTTCGCGACAACAGAGGTACATGGACGACCTTCGCGAAGATTGTCATCAAACGTTGGTCTTCCACGCTTGAATTCTGCGAACCATTTGTAAACCATAGTTTTGGATGGTGCTCCATCCCCAAATAATGAACTTAGTTTTTCCACACATTGCTGCGGCGTTAAACCGTATCGAAAATCATAAAAAATCATCACTCGGAAGTCACGATTCGAAATTTCCATTTTTCACACAAATATTACTCTCGTTAAATTTTGTTGAAACGAAACCCCAGTGTAAGTAATAATACAGTAGCGACAGTTCATTGTTTATGAGAGGTCCATATTTTTCTGCGCATGTCCGTAAATAAGCGGCAAATACGTCAAACTGACATATATGAATTGTCAATGGATTAATGGTAGTTGATTGTTTTGATTACCTGATTGGTTGTAATGCACATTTTAATACATTTTTATTATATTTAGACTTAGTTTTCATCTTTTATTTAGTGTGTGATATTTAATTCAAACAGACAAAGGGACAAGATATTTTAAAGTTACTTATTTCAGTGTAGAAATAAGCGGCAAAAACGTCAACTGTCAATAAAAATCTGATCACCCCGACATCAAAGGAGCCGACTCAAGCTGTCGCTACTGTATTATTAATTATACTGGGACGAAACCAAAGGGGCGTTTGATTTGAAACTCGATCGAGCGAGCGTCGGGGAGACCGAGAAGTTATGACGTCACAATAAAGCATTAAATCAAATCAAATAAAACAAAGTAAAAAACATAACCTCGCTTTTTTGTAATTCTTGTTTCTGGTTTGTGTGTCAAAATAGTGAGCAAAAAGCACACAAAAAGTAAAGAAAATGGAAAAACTTTTAATAATAAAGGGTAATGGCCCTGAAATGCAGCATATACCACAAATGCCCACTTCGCTCTCATATTCCATGCCTGTGATTACTGGTGATTAGATCTGGACAGAGAAAATGTATTTTCCAAACACACATTTTGTGTTTTTTATGACGAATAATTTTAGCTACTAGACAAAAGCGGCTAAGTAATTTGTTGACTTCTTGTCTGGTCTTTAATTTTGAGATTCAAATATGTTTGTAAGTTAGTTAAAAAGAGATAGGTAGAGACAAAGACAAATTTCTCCCTCTTCTCGATCCATCTGCTCTGAGAACATCGAGCTCGCTCTATGTTCTCGCTCCAAAGCAAAACAAACACTTTAGGGATATCTCGGAGTGTCAATTCAAACACGTTTGCAGCGCTCGGAGATCTCCGATGATCAAATCAAACGCACCATAAGCAGTTTGAAATCGAACTGTCAACTGAATGATAGGTGAAAAACGTCAAATTTTACGAATATGACAATCGCAGAACGATGGCAATACAAGGAGTACTTGATTCCGCGAACTTTAGCAGTGGTATAGGGACCAGGCGCAATAAGAGAAACTTCTTTTGAAAATGGTTTTATTGTGCCGAGGAATTACCAGAGTATTTTAGTTTCTACTGGAAAGATTATTTATTATATTGTGCGAAAGATCTCAACTTCGCTAATAGGTATTGTGGGTTTCTATTAAGAAGAATTTAGTGAGTCATACACAGCATGTGCAATTTCCTCAAGGAATCGAGCCTTAGCCATTTAGCTTCCAGATATTTATTAGAAATATGATCAAAGACAAGAATTTTGCATATTTTGTAATCATTGTGATTCATGATAATTGAGTGCAGGGCCATTGACTGTATCACAGTGGGACATTTTAGAGATGATAAGAGATTCACAAAGCTTCAATTTCAACTTTGGTGACAAGAGATACCTGTTTGGGTGAAGCAGTCTAAGAACATTGGATGAAGCTTGACATAATGACTCACATGTCTAGAAAATCTGAGATTAGAATCCATCCAGATACCTACATTTTTTATATTCATCCACTAATGGTAAAACATTTTGTTGGGTTACGGCAAACCTTTCTAAATTTAATTATAATTTGTGTGCTGAGTAAATGTCAAATAAGGCATCTAAATTGGTATTTATTTTGATTTGAGAGGTTAATGAAACAATAAATAGAAAAGCCAAATATATTTGCGAATCATCCGCGTAATGGTGTATCTGACAACTGTGAAAATCAGAAATATATAAGGAAAATAGTAAAGATCAGAGGATCTAATCTTGAGGTACTCCATATATAACACAAGGGCGACTCCGAGACGAATTTTGCCTTGCCTAGCCAAGCCATTCTCTTTTTAGCATATTTTTTTGAATAAAAGGCTAAAAAAATCGTAATTTCATCTCGGTGAGGGGGGGGGATGGCAATCGTAATTTCATCTCGGTGAGGGGGGGGGGCATGGCCCTCATATAATCCACCCCCCCCCCACCCCCCCCCCCCCCCCCCCCCCCCCCCCGAAGCCGCCCAGGAAAGCTTTCGATATCTTATCATGTAATTAAATTAAATAAGATCCTATTAAATCAGCTGATTTGTTGCTGAAACCGAAAAATAACTAATTTTTTGAATAAAATATGATCAAAAGTATCGAAAGCTTTACTGTAGTCAATTTTTACAAAATTCAAGCATTCAAAATTCAAAATTTTAATCCGAAATCGAAATATAACTTGAATGGAACCAAAAGGATGGGGTCATATGCAGTAGGCTTAGCATATTTTGCGAAATGGGACAACCTTTCAAAAAACAACTCAGAATTAATCCAATCATTTTTGGAACATTTATAAAGGTCCCTTTTTTGAAGAGTTTTTGGCATTCTCTTTCAGGGATAAATAAGCATAGGGGTATGTAATTCCCTGAATCACTCATACAGAAAACGCCAGTTATGGTCCTTCCTCTTTCACCGGATATATTGGAGCCCACTTTTTTTGCTCCGTTGGCACCATAAACCTTTGGACACCTTTGGCTTGAACGGTTGTAGTACCTGTTTCGTCCATGTTGAATATTCTATTTGGTTTAAATTTAAACTTCTGCATCAGAAATTCAAGATGAGAATAAAATAATTTCACAGTATCTTTATTAAAGGATGAAATCGGATTTAAGCTAGTACCCTCAGGCTGTCTTAGTTTTATCTCAGGAACTCTTTTTAAGAACCCATAAAGTCCATGTCTTTCCAGCTACTTCCTTTTCCCGATTAAAGTTATGAACAATATTATGTTGTTCTGCATACCTAAATACTAGCCTTCTTAGCCCATCAGGTGTCAGCCCAAAAAATAATTTTGAAAGTAGCAAAACATATTCTTTTAACACACACTCTATTTCTTTTGAAAATATAGTCTTGCGATCCAATCGAGGTGGGTTCAGATCATTTTCTAGCAGATTTTTTCTGACTGTAGATTCTGGTATTTTAAAAGATTTTCCCACTTCCCTAATTTTTCTTCCATCATTCCTTATGGCATCCAGCGCATTTTGTAGATTTTCAACCGTGTACGACAGGATGGCGACAGTCTTACGTGTGTAATTTCTAGGCATCTGGAAACAATAAATAAACTTACTAATACTATCGCGCTTTAATGCGCACGATTTCCCCTTTGTGTTTATGTTTTATAAATTCATGATATGACAAAAAACTATCTATTCAT